TCCCTTGCATTAGGCAGTGAAGTTTGAGTTTTGATAATTGAACTATGGTAATGTAAGAGAACACCATTTTCATTAAGAAATGTACTAAATTATTTGCAATTTGCATGTCTGTAGTTTACTCTCAGAAGCATCAGGAAAAAATGTGCATTTATGTACAGAAAAAGAATGAGAAAGCAATGTTTGCAGTTGGGCAGCTGGGTGAAGGCATAAGATCATTTGAATTATGTTTGAAATTTTCTGGCATTTCGAAATTAATTGAAAATAATAGAAAACTCTACTCAGTGCTCACTGCCAATGGCAGCACCTTGGGAGCCTCAGCTCCACCTGAGGGCTGCAGGTGCAGTGTGTGAGTCACCTCTCCTTGCACCTCCCTTCTCCTTTTGTGACTTCAATACCTATTTATGGAATCAGGAACTTGCAAGACCAGGAACTACTCTGCTGACTTCCTTTGGTGCTATCTTAAGGAAACTGGGATAAAATAGATTGAACTGAGGTTAGTTTGTTGTTTACAAGCACCATGACAAAGAGCATGGGAGAAAGGACAAGCATGTGCAAACCCAGAACTCTCAAGCATACAAGACTAGTATAAATCCTTTATCCACCACCCAAATTCTTTCTCTCTTATTAGCTCTTCTTTTATTTTCTATAAACACTTTTTCCAGTGGTTCCCAATAATATCCCCCAAATAAGAACTAGTTAAATAGCAAGAATTTTTCATCTTTTGATGAATAATTCCAGGTGTTTTTAATTTGTCCCCATCTAGCTAATTTGCTTGACTTCAGGACCAGTTGTCATCTCAGTTGGTATAAGTTTTATTTACCTTATCAAATTTTACTAATATTAACCAATACTATTAATATAACTAATTTATTACTACCATGTTAACCTGACCCTGACTCTTTGGTCCTGCAATGAATTAACTTTCAGTTCTGAGCACATATAATAATAACATGGGGCATGTGCTGGAGAGTGATTGACAGGGTGGGGCTAGGTGTATTTGATAGGGTAGCAGAAAAGTCCATGAACCAGAAAAACTGAGATAACACTTCCGGAGGGTTTATTTTACCTAATCTTCTAGGTGGAACCTTTATAAAAACAGGACAGTAAAAAGGACTGAAGTTAAGAATCACATAAAAAAATTGAAATATTTCATAAGAAAAAGGTGTCACCTGATTCAAGACCAACCAAACTAAAGACTTAACAGTGGCTTTGATAATGACAAGTATGAATATATGTCAAACAACAATAATGGAGATTACCTGATAATCAGATACTCTCACATAGAAATTGTGTCTTCAAATGTAGGAAGATAATTATCAGGTTGTTGCAAAACCAGGAGCTGAAAGGCAGAGGGAACTCAGAAGGCAGATGCCATTTGCAGCTGAAGACAAGACTCAGAGAAGACTTGCTGGAGGAAGATGCTGAATCTTTGGTGGATGGAGCTAAAGGAGAAATGGAGCTGGTGAGGAGACAGCCAGGGTCTCCAGAGGAGCAGGTACAATCACCTCCTATGCACAAAGGTGACAAAATAACCTCACCTCTAGGATTGTCACCAATCAGAAACCTATTTCCTGGTCCCAAGACTTTCCTTCTTCATGGTCCTGAGAGTGAGGCTGACAAATAGGAGTCCTTCTATAAACCCTCCAGATTGAGTGCATTTCTTCCACTTGCGACAGGGACATGTGAAGAAAATGAGATTCTCTCAGCCTAATTGGGTGAGGCTCTATGTAGTAGATGCTCCCAATTCCCCATGTTTTCTGAAAACTGTATTGCACTGTGGTTCTTTCACATTAAAAAAAGAAAGAAAGAAAGAAAGAAAGAAAGAAAGAAAGAAAGAAAGAAAGAAAGAAAGAAAGAAAAAGAAAGTACATACACACACACAATGCACTAAAACCAAACAAACTAAAAAAAAAAAATAATAAAAAATAAAAAACTACAACTGTGGTGGTCAGTGGCTAGAGGTAAAGAAATTATTTTTTATGGAGCTATGAGTATGTTGAATCAGACCTTTCCACTCTGGGACCTCCTGAAGAGTGTGACATGTGTCTCCAGAGGTTTTGGACACCTGTGGGGGATGCATGTCTGATTTCTGTCTGAGGAAACTAAAGCTGAGCCTGGGCTGATGCACTGCTCTGCAGGGGAGGGTGGAGTGATGACAGGTGGGTTCTTTGGAAGCAGCAGTGACTCCCAGCACTGGAGAGGAGTGGCTGCTCTCCTCACACATGAAGGCACTGGAAGAAGCTGGATCCAGACAAGGAAAGAGAGCTGAAGCCCACCAGTTGCTCCCCCACCTCAGACAACAGCCCATGGTGAGCCCAGCTGGGGGGGGGCGGACCTGGACAGTAAGT